TGTGTGTGTGTGTGTGTGGGAATTTAACTAGTTAGCTTAATGCCATTAAAATAATTTACGTGCAATTGAAAAGTCAGTTGGCCATTTTCCTGTCAGAGCTTAAAGCATATGTCTAATTGGAAATGTCAGGCAACATTTTCCAGCAGTCAAATTATAATTAAAACTAATTAAATTTGACTTAAATGCCCTTCAAGGCGGCATTATGTGCGCCTCATTGAATGTCTAACACATTGAAGAAATGTTTGAGGCATAGCAGCTCGCATTATGGTGATTGGAGGCGAATACAAAATATTTATTTAAGTTTCATTTCGGATTATGTATATTGCTCAGAAATGATAGACTAATGTGAGAAGGGAAAACGGGAAGTATGCCACTTAGAACAATAACATAAAAGAGATTAAATTATAGGCAAACAATACGAAGAGGATTTAACATTTGAAAGTTATAATAATATTTAAGTCCATTGGAGAAATTGATACAGCTTGCTGAAATACAATTTAAAAGTTCAAAAATGAAATTTCTGTTCAATTAAGGCTAAAAAAAATAAATAATAAATTGACTTACTGTGCAAAGAGGTTTATTTAACAAACATGATATATGCCGAGCTCAATTATATCAATACTCAAATATATATATATATTTATTTGTCGACAAGAGATGTGAATTGCGATTGGCTTCAAAGGCACGAATTCGCCTTTGAAAATGGCAATTCATCAAGTTGGCTGGCAAAGCACATTAATCAATCCAATAAAAACGCGCTCACAAGTGAGCAGATATATAAATATATATATTTTATATCGTATAAATAAATATTTATATATAAAAATATATATGCATATATTGCTGTGCATGCATGTGTGTGTAGGGCCACTTTGGAGCTCACAAAGTTTTGCAAAAATTTTAATTGAATGGCAACGGATTGAAAAAGTTTGCGACGCCACTAAAATTGATTACACACATGCAACACTTGAAAGCTTTCAACCAATCAGCTGGCAGCAGGCAGCCAGCAGCTAGCTGCTTGCAACAGCCGGTGGCAGTTGCATATATTGAGCTATTGAGTGCTTGTTCAAGCAGAAATCTGCCAGGCCGCAACATTCGTGTCAAATGCATGCGTTAAGCCTCTATCCGGGCTTTGGTTCTGCTCTGGCTGCTGTCGCTTTGCCAGCTTGTTGTAATTTATTCTAATCGCTTGTCAAGCATTGGCTGAAACGAAAAAAATTGAAGTAAGACTGCACTAGTAGCGATTGACCGACTTGCAGATACCCTGAAATTAACGTCGAGCTGCCACAGCCTTTTTATCTCAAATGCTGGAGGTAGCCGAAATCTGACAAAATCCAGGATCTATACATACATATATACATACATACATGCATACACACATACAACCATACATCCACACATTTATACATACATAAATACATAAAAACATACATACCTACGTGCATATATGCATACATGCATACATGCTTATATGCATACATCCATACATGCATACATGCATAATGCATACATGGATACATGCATACATACATACATGCATTTATGCATACATGCATAGATACATACATGCATACATGCGTATATGCATACATGCATATATGCATACATCCATATGCATACATGCATATATGCATACATGCATAGATGCGTACATGCATAACGTCTACATACAAAATTGATCGATTACATGTACACAAGTTATCGATAATGCGAAAGCTTGGCCTACGTGGATAATAGGAGCCTAAAGATCTTAAGGTTGTTTACATATACACAGGGTATATATACCTAATGCTTTTAAAATTGTCTTCTTCTATGCGTTACACATTGTGTGAAAAAATAAACCTACTTTCTTAAAGGGTATAAAAAAGAAAGCGCAAAAAAAAAGGAAACAGTAGGCAACATTCGCTGGCGCAATGTTGCGTGTAACGAGGCAGAGGCGAGCTCAGCCCAAAGGTTATGCGTTAGTATCAGTTTGTGTGTGTGTGTGCTGGTGTGTGCGTGTCTGTATTGGTGTGCGTCTGTGCGGTGTTGCCAATTGAGTGGCAGCAATCAATCTGCTAGGTGCCCCGTAAAGTGTGTCAAAAGCGCGCGCCTATGCCATAACCAGCTGCCAAACAACAGCAGCAAACAAAGCAGCAACGAGACGAGCCACCAATAAACCAGCCCCTCGAAATCCACTAGCCACCCTACCTCCCCTGGCCACAGACTGACTCGAGCCAATGGCTGGCTGACTGCCTGACTGCCGCTTATAGCACTTAATTGACGTCAATCGCATTGGCCTGCAGTCTAGCGTCCTGCTTCTGGTTCTGGCTCGCCTGATGGCTGGAAAAATCACAGCTCGTTAGTGAACTTTGCTACCATTTGAAAATTGTTATACAAAATTGTAGCATTTCCTTTATTGTTTTTTTTTTTTTTATTATTATTTTTTGTTTCATTTATTGCGAATAATTCCATGCATATTGTCTTACAAAATGTTTGGCAATTATTAAATTGACAAAGCTGTGCGGACGGGACCCTCTTCAGTTGTTTGCCGGAGAGTCCGCAAATCAGTTTTTGTCAGTCAAATCAAATGTCAACTACATGACAGCCGACACAAGAGCCACGCCCACAAAACAACAGCCACAGCCTGTTCTTGCTGTTCCTTTTAAAATGATGCGCTCCAAGTGTGCGTGTGCGTGTGTGTGTGCGTGTGCGTGTGCGTGTGTATTGGTGTGTGTGCTTCTTAATGATTATTTGACGCCATATTTGATTGACGTGTGTTGGGCGCTCGTTATATATGAATGTGTGTGTGTGTGTGTATGAGCCCCACTTCCTTATATCTCTTATTGTATACACTTGATTGTGTGCGTGTGTGCGTGTGCATGTGCGTGTTAATGGCCGCAACAACCACAAGGCACTTATCAATTCTTCGTCTCAGCCAAATGACACTCGTGGGCGTGGGCTTTTTTACAACTGACACTGAACGAGTTTTGTCAAGAGCTCGTAATAAGTGTGAAAATATATATATATGGATATATATATGCTTAGTCTGCGTTTAATTTTAGATGACGCCATTATATTAAATATACCTTTAATGCGTGTTTGAGCCAAAGAAATTATGTTATTTTCGTTTTGAAGAAAATTGTTTAATTGTGGAAACAAACATAAGGCGCTGTCTGTGATTATAAAATGACATTATTAACCTATATATATCCGCTTGAGAGTTGACACGTGATTCTGATAAGTCTAAAGCACCTCAACTAATAATTCAGTTAGTCCGCATAACAGTTTAATGTATTTTGACAGCATTAAAATTGACAAAACAAACCAAAAATAACGAATTTCATAAATAATTATCAAATGTAATCTATTGCCGCAGAGTTTGAACCAGAATTCTATTGCTAGTTCAACTCTTTAATTTAGTTTGATATTTTGATTCAATTTAACAATCTCAGCAACTGTTATTTGCATTGTATTAAAATTAATTTTAGCATCATCAATTTGTAAACAGATTTCCGACTTTAATCGATTGCCTAGCAAATCCTCTAAAGCAGTGTTGAACAACAGTTGATTTCAGCTAGGATCAGAGAGAGAGAGAGAGAGATGGAGATCTCCAATGCCTACAGCAATTTGTTTTCAACGCAGGCCCATCGCACAGTGGGCGTGGCTGTGCGTGGCTAAGTGCGTGTGTGTGTGTGGGTGTGCGGGTGCGTGTATGGATAAACTATGTAGAGTCCTTGAAAAAGATGTAAGCCATAGAAGCGGAATGCCAGCGGCTAAAAAAGTTAACATTTGACATAGTTTAGAGAGCTGCCTAGCCAGACGTAGTTGGGGCTGGGGCAGCGTGGGTCAACGGGTTCAACTTGAATGTGGCATGAATGAATGTCTTCATGGCGTGTCTCCCCCACAATTTTGTTGTTGTTGCTGCTGCTAGTTCGTAGCAGGAAAATTGGTGCCAAACTAAATGAATTTAATTGCCGCTGGATATGAAAGTAATTATTTTGCAGTACATAGAGGCACGGTCGATAGGCGAGTGCGGGGGAGGCATTCTCTTATCTCACGCGCGCACTTTCTCTAGCTGACTTTCTCTCACTCTCTCTCTTTCTCTCCCTGTCTCTCTTTGCTGATGTGTGTTGCTATCGATGCACTTGCACTTAACAGCAAACGGGCGTAGGCTGGCAAATCGGCACACATACGCCCCCGTGGCACACACCAGACACACACACGCACACGCTTACTTTCGCTGCTGTTGGTGAAAAATTGCCCCGCAGATATTTTGAGTTGTTCTTTAATTTATTCTCTTTTCACTCGCCGAGCAGCGCGTTGTCCTTGCTGTTGTTCCAATGTGCCGCCAACGGCAGGCCCAGCAAAAGCCAACGACATGTGTGTGTAGGGGAATTTGCGCGCGCGTGTGTGTGTGTGTGTGTGTGGGAGTGACAGTGTTGTGTCACTTGTTTACACGCCTGGCCTTGTTTTGTTGCCTAGACCAAGCCTTTATATACCCTGTAAGCAATGAGAATGGTAAAAGACGGATATGAAGAACTTGCCAGGCAGAAGAAGGCAGCGTCTGTGATCTAAAGAATACATATATATTCTTGATCCGGTGGACGAAATATGGACTCCATCCAAGCCTGTGTCTGTTCAGTCTATCTACCATTTATATGACTTTTATTGCTGCCAGGTGAGCTTTGCGTAAGCTGAGCTGAGTGCAGGGTAACTGCTCGTCGGGCAAGTAAATCTTACTGGTTTTCTCTGCATTTTTAGTTCACAAACCTTGTAACACTTTCGATCGCACTCAACTGAGAACTAACGCGAAATTAGCATTTGATTTTAGTCCAATTAGAATTCGAAAATATCAAGGAAAATGTTAAGAATAAACTTTCGATTCAACAAGTTGCACACTTTAGATTTCTTGTTTAGCAAAGTGGGTTAAGCGGCGACAATTTTAGCACAATTTTTGGAATATTTTTGTATTTATTTGTATTACTTTTCGCTCTTGACACTAAACTACTTTACACTAACTATTCGCAGTCGGGATCTCTTTCGGGATCGCATCTTGGCGGTGGTGGTGGTGGCGGTGGTGGTGGTGGTGGTGGTGGCAAGTACCAGCCGGGATAATAACCCCATGGGTAACCGCTGTAGAATGGTGGATAAAGTGGATAACTGGGATGTGGATGCGGACGAGGATGTGGATGAGGATGGGGATGGGGATGGGGATGGGGATGAGGATGGGGATTGGGGTTCGGATTGGGATTCGGATTCGGATTGGGGTTGGGATTCGGAGTGGGATTCGGGTGCGGATGTTGGTGACCACCATTGTTATCATCATCATTTTTGTTGCCCTTGATGACCACAATGCAGTTGACAATGGGACGATCCTTGTTGCCGCTGCCGTTGCCATTCCCATTGCCATGTCCATTGCCATTGCCATGACCATGTCCACCGCCATGTCCACCATCGTGACCGCCGCCATGTCCACCCCCATGACCGCCATCATGTCCGCCACCATGACCATGGTCATCGTCATCACCATCGTCATCATGATCATTATTATTGTTATTATTATTTTGACTATTGCCACTATTGTCGAAGCTCCAGCTGATATGTCGCGGCGTATAATATTCGGTATCCTTGGGTGAGACCACGCACAACGGGTAACCCTTTGTGGTTGTGCTCGGCTTGTCGTTTGTCTCGAAGAAGAACGAGGGTATGTAGCTGCTGGCCAGGCCGCTCAGCGGGCTGCGCAACAGACGCGACTCCGACACCTGCGGCTTGCCCCTGGTCAGCTTGAGCAGCTCGTTGTACTCCTCGCGCGTCACCTGGTGTATGCGCAGCAGCTGCGTACGGGCTGAAAGTAGTCAACATGGTGTTGGATGGAGTGGGGCAGCTGGCCAGGATCGATGAGCTACTCACCCGCATTGGCGGCGACGGCGCAGAGCGTGATCAGCGCCAGAAACAGTAACAACCTCATGTCGATCGCTGCGTTTGAATAAACAGCGACAGCTCCGACAACATATTTATAAAGATTTGTCTGTCTGCGGCTGACATTATCATTTAAATTGACAAACGGCCACGCCCTAAACAATAATACGCTTTAATGGCACTCTTTGGTCAGTTGTGCATAATTTACCCGCTGACCCAGTTTGTGCAAAAGAATTTGCTTTAACTTGACAAAACAACAGAATAAATACAGCAAGCCCTTAATTGGGTATGCGATTTGGTCAAAACATGTGAAAGATTAAATTTAATGATTGTTGCCTTTTAAACGATAACTGTTTATTTATGGTTTAGTTAGCCGCTGGCAGCTGGCAGAGAAATGCGCTCCATTTTGCGGACCTATCGAAATGTTTTTGGCCTAGCAACAGATAGCTTTTAAGAGACAAAACCAACTGACATACTTCTAAGCGAAACTAGGTTTACTCAAAAGACTGGGGAAAGTCCTCGGCGTCTGAGTCTTCTGAGGGAGGTATTCGTTTGGGCAATCGAACAACGAAAATTCAAGTTCAAAATCCAGAATATTCCAATTTGTTCAAAATAGTTATAGTCATAGTTATACTCAGACCTTATACTCAGACCTTGCTTCTAGCTAGCTCGCGTCTAAATGTCGTCTAAGTTTAATTGATGAGGATCAAACCTCAGATCCACGTAGTATTATCTTATTATCTTCTAGCAAATATGCCAAAGTTCCCAGTTATGTGAAAAGGGAACGCTTTTGTTCAGAAGTTCCCAACGGACATGATAGCTAAGTGACCGTCACATTTGGGAAAATAAACAACGAGGTATCAAACTAGAACATCAAACATCAAAGTTTTTCATATGTTGTTCAACTGAAAAGCAATCTTCAAACTTATTTGCTACCTTTTGAGCTCTTCAGCTCATTAAGCTTTCATCTCAATCAAAACACTTTCTATATTTTGTTTAATTGTATTTGATGCTATTTTATTTGTAAAAATCATGATCATAGGATGAGTCCAACACAAATTCGCCTTCCGCACTTTGATCGAACTCGTCGCTTTCGTCGTCGTCATCATCATCGTGTTTGTCTTCCTTCTCGGCCTGCTCATAGTATGGATAGGGATTATAGGGAGGCACCTGTCCATAGAACTGCGAGGGATAGTATGGCTGTGGGCCAAAAGGTAGCTGGGGGCCGAACGGCGGCTGTTGGCCAAAAGGCGGCGCATATGGATTGTATTGACTGTAGGGATTCTGGTTGTAGCCGCCGTAGGGATAAGGGCCGCCAAAGGGGCTACCATAGCCGCCACCATAAGGAGCTGGTGGTGGTGGCGGCGGCGGAGGCGGAGCATAAGGCGAGCCATATTGACGCGCAGCGGAGTCGAGCGTGGTGCGAGTTCTGTGCAGCTTGGACTTGGTCTGTGACTTGGACTTGTTGCGCTTCTGCGGCGCAACTGTGCTCGTTGCGGCCAGGCGTTGCTCGTGCTCGTCCTCGGGCGCAGCCAACTGCTCAGCAACTAGCTCGGCAGCTTGGGGTTCCAGCTTTAACTGCTGCTCATTTTCATGGTACCAGTAGGGCGCAAAGTCGGGATTGCTGGAGCTGAGCGCTTCCAAGGCGGGATCCCGCTTGAGCACCACAATGCAATTGATAACCGAATCGTCTTCACCGGCTGCTCGGGCCGACGGAGCACGTGGCTCGCTCTCAGCGGGCTTCGCAGCGTCGGCAAGACTGCGCTGCATGACGCACAGGGGCTGGCCGTCGATGTCGATCTTGGTCTCCTCCGCGTAACTGGTCGTGGTCAGGCCCATGATGCGCAGCAGTGAATGCCAGCCGGAGTCGAGGGTGTTGCGCACCGAAGTGAAGCCGGCGCTGGTGAGACGTGCCTCCGAAATGACATTCTTGCCATTGGTCAGCTTCAGCAGCCGCTCATACTGCTCCTCATTGATGGGATAGACGCGCACCAGCTGCTCCGCCTTGTTTGCCACCTGCTTCTTGGCTGGTGCTGCAAATGAAACTTGAGTTTCAGTTTGATCGCGCTAGATCGTTTGGCTCTCTAGCTACCCACCTGCCTCAAGGCAGCCGAGGCTGCTCAGCACCAATAATAGGCCGCAGAAACTGAGCCAGATTGAATGCATTTTGTGTGTAAAATCAAAGATACTAAGTTCCCAATGCCAGAAGACAGTCTTATTTATACATTCAGCTCTGTGGCCCGGCCAAGCGGTAAACATTTGCCAAATATTGCAATTAGTTACTTTTATATGGGCATAGATAGCTCAAAGCGACATTCTCGAGAAATCCATGCCAATAAATTAGTCCAATTGGCACACATTCGGGCGAGTCAACGAACGCATTTAAGCCCAAAAGCTGACAGCTGCCTGAGTCTAACTGGTTCTTGAACTATATATATACATATCTCTATATCTATGTAACTAGAAGTAGAACTGGGCGTGCCCTACGCTTGCTCCAATCATAATTAGCATAAGGCATTAGTCAGCGCTATTTGCATAGCTATAAAGATTTTAAATATGTCTAAAAAATAGTTTTCTGAGCTTTTGGGATCATGTGAGAAAATCTAGATAACCGTATTCCTTAATTTATGCGCATCTGAAAGATTGCCTTGAATTGATTTTATGTTCTTATGCTCTATCAACTAACTGAACGGCTGCAAAAGATTTTCATCTATTTTCCAGACATTTTTTAGCTTAACGGCTAACTACGACTTGAACAGTGCGCTTAGCCTCAATCAGTCAGTCAATCAAACTGTTTTTTTTTTTTATCATTTTAGATACTTTCCCTTGTCTATATTTTCCCCATAATCCCATCATTATTGCAGGGTATTTGCCTATTCGCACTAGCACAACAGCTTAGCTTTCCTTTTTAAATTTGTTCGTACGTCTTGTCTCCAATTCAACTCAACAAATTTGTATTTTTGATCCGATTAAGACGAGTTTCTATATTTATGTTGTCTTTGAAATGTGCCTAAACACCAAATCGAACGATTTGCATAAATAATTCGTTTATATTTTGGAAATAAAAGACATGTTTTATTATTTTATTAACTCATAATTAATTTTACTCTTATTTCGTTTAAATCTCTTGCTGTGAGTGTGTGTGTGTGTGTGTCTATTTATATATATATATATATGTATATATATATGAGTACCTATGCATAAATACTTAGTTATAATGCGTTCACATACACAAACACAAGGTTTATTTGTATGTGTTGCTGACTTTGAATGAACTCTAAAGTGTTTGCCCTTATAGTTAACACACATCAAGTGACTAATTTGTTGTGCCGCTGTGTGTGCGTGTGTGTGTGTGTGTGTGCAACGCTTATGCACCTGTATGCGTTATATATATGTATGTATTTATATATATTTAAGTATTAGTTACCGTCTTTTCGATTAATGCAAAATTAAGTTTATTTACAAGTTGTTTGTCATTACTTAAACTAATTACACACACATGCACACACACATACACCCACACACACGCACACACACAGTAGTTGTTAGACGCCTTTTTATTTATTTATTAAATTTAACTAATCTTCTGTATTTTGTTAATGCATCAGCTGCATTTGCTGTTTACATTTGTATTTTGTTAGTCAAAAGGTGTTTATCAATAATTGTTATTGTTGTTCTTTAAATTATTTATTTTATTTATTATATATATACCATATATATCTGTTGCTCGTGTGTGTGTGTGTGTGTGTGTGTGAGTGTGTGTTGCCAATTGTGCCACAGTTTTCAACATTTAAATTGTATTTTGTATTTAGTTCTTTATTATTTTTCCATTTTTTTTGTGTACATATATATTAATTCAAGAGTTAATTAAAACTACACTCGCTGCTAATGAATTTATTTACAGTGCTCGCTTTTCCCGACATTTCCATTCGATTTCCGTTAAGCACATTATTAATTTGCATTTCCATATGCTCTTATATCGCACAAAACTAATTAGTTACCACACAAACATTTATATATATATATATATATATTTATATATATATACATATATCTGTGTTAATGCATAATGTTTATATCCCTTTTGTGTTTGATTAAACTATCAAACTCCATTAGCTTCAACAAGCTGTTTACCCTTACTTTTTTGCTGCTTCCCCTTTTGGTTCAACTCTTGCCCATCAATTGAGCTGTTGCGAATGCATCGAGCAGCTTTTTAGTTGCCACAAATTATTTTATTTTTTGTATTCATTATTATATTTTTTTTTGTTTGCTTAAACTTTGCTTTTCCATAATATTTTTACAATACACTTGCAGAGTTAATTATGGGTTATTAAAACAAATGCAGAAAAAAAAGGTTTCATACAACAGTCTGGACTTCTTTAAGATATGCGAGAGCCAAAGAATATTGTTATCGATTCTTATCGATTTCAAAGAAGCAAAGCCAGCTATCGATAACTTGAATGTTGATCGCCGCAGGCAATCGAAGAAGCGACTATTAACATATCAAGTCGTTTGACGGAATAACATACGGACAGACTGTCTAGTAGGACGGACGGACAGACTAAAAGATAGTCAGACGGACAGGACTAAGTTGACTTGGCTGTTGGCCCATTTAAGGATGTAATTAAATATGTGATTCGGGCTAGAAAATTGTTGCCCATCTTGGCAAGAGTATTTAATATTCGGCACAACCGAAATTCTTTACTTTCATTAGCTTCCTTTTAAAAGAACACTAGCCGTGATTGAAAAGTGCGCATCAAATGAAAGTCGAATCGCGACACACCCCAAAAACTAGCTCAGAATATAAATATATATTTATATATATATTCAGCTATGTATTTATGTAATTTGTAATAGAGCCTTAAACATTAAAATGGCGTTTATTTACAGCAAATATTATGTTTGTGTTAAATGCTTATTAATTACAATAGAGTACACAATGGCTGTAAACAAATTGAATGTAATACAGTTAGCTTCAGAAGTATGCATACGCTTGATGTGGCTAGAAAAGGGGTGAGAAAAGTAGAGAGAAGTGAGAGCGGGAGAATATTGCAAAATATTGAACTGCATGGATTGATTGATTGACTGATTGAGAACAATTGAATTGAATTGAAGCATATTTATAGCCTAGTAAGTCTTATTTCATAATGAGAATGTTTTTGTTTTCTTTATTAATTTTAACGATTTGCTATTGGCTGGTGAGTGTGTGTGAGGGAGACAAATGCACGCTGCTTGAACCAGTTGGGAATTACAGCGAAAATAATTCGTTCAAGCTGTCCGTTCGCTCTTGTTAAGAACTGTGCATTTGCTCAACTACATTTTGCTTAAATAATAGTTAAGTTTTATATATAGTTTAAATGTGTATATATTCTGTTATTTGGCTTCTTTTTTTTGTATGTGTGTATATATATATATTGTTTGCTTTTTGTTTTCCTTGTAGATTTCGTGTTTGTTCTGCTTGGCTTAACTTACGCAAAATCGCTTAGAGCTAAAGATGTTTGTTGTTTATTCACTAAGTGCATTCAATTTACGATACGAAATCAATGCGAATCGCACACACATGCCTATCAATTTAACTAAAATCTCATCATTACAACTCAATTAACATCATGTCCATGATCACCAGCACCTGGAGCACACGCAGATTAGTATCCAGCTGCATTCCTTCATCTCACACACAGCACCAGGGTCAGCCCACTTTGAGGGCGGCTGCTGCTGCTGTTGCGGGGGCGGGCACTCGATGTTGTTGCAACTGGTGCTGCTGCTGCTGCTGATGATGCTGCTGCATGTGACAATTGCCTTGGTGGCAGCAACAACAGTGCGGCCATTGTCTCAGCCGGCGCCGCACTCACATACCAATGCTGCAGGCAGCAGGAGACGATGCTGAGCAGCATGCAACAAATGCCGCAATAGAAACTGTTGCTGTTGCTGCTCGAATTGTGCTGCATGGCCGCCGGGTGTTCGCCTGCGAAAAGAAAACAGAAAACAGAAAACAAAAAAAAAAAAAAAATACAAAAGCATTGAAAATGGTTAAAACTAGTACAAAGGATAAAGTCTTGTTGGTGCTCATCTCAGTTCATTAGCTAATTGTTAAAGCAGCTGAAGGTGAGCTGCAGCAACCAAGTCAAGCGCATGCGTAAACGGATGCAATTTAGCTCAGCTCTGGCAGCTGCTGTTGTTGCTGTTTTAGCTGGCTGCTGGCTGCCTTCCGATTGCCTTTGTATAAGGGCAGGTTCAATCGCCCGTAGCTAAATCTCGACTCTTCACATCAACATCAACAACAAGCTGCGCTGTTATCTGGGCCCAGATAATATCGACGCCAGCTTCACAACATGCTCCACTTTGCATGTGCACATTTCCTGCTTGCCAAACAAGCAGCCCCAACAATGAGCCAAACACTATAGCAACTACAGCAACTACAACAGCAACACACAAACAACAACTTGTTATATGCACACTTGAGCACACAAGCTGCAACTGAAGTTTGTTGTGGCTGCCTTTCACTGGGAGCCGGACTTGATTATTGGCGTTTCAGAAAGCAAGAAATAATTTCCGCACTTCTTTCAGGCTAGCAGCTAAGGCAAAATGTATGACAAGCGAGCGTGCGCTAGTCGACGGTGTACGACTACCAGATACCCTATACTCAAGTCGCGACAAACAATCGCAGTTTCCTTTGTATCGCACTTTAAGCAGTGACTGTGCTTCTTCTTGCCTTGGGCTAACATCGGACTTTGTTGTCCGATTTTTATGATCAATTTGATTGATCTATCTTTAAGGCGAAATTTCTTCCAGTTTTGGGTAAAAATGTTGTGAAGCCATTAAAAAATAAACTATTCCTATTTTCATATTGCTATTCTTATTTCTGTTCGTATGCTTTTATTCGGGCATACTTTTTTGGAATGTATGCCTTTATTTCTATTGCATTTTTGATTTGTATTCCTTTATTTTAATCTGCGCCTATTTTTATAGAACCTACTTACGAGGCTTGGCATATCTAGCTCTTATAATTATCGAGCTATACTTATTCGATATTTTTAGATGATATTTTTAGACGACAAATATGTTGTGACTATCATAGATATTTAGATATGCTTCTTTTATTATATTAGATGTTTTATAAGATATTTTCTCAGGTTAACTAGAAGTTGATTAAAAATTGAACCTAGGGCGACTTTTAAAGGCTTTTCCTACGTAATGAGAAGCGGACAAACCTTGCAGCAAAAACGAATGTACATGCACAGCGCATAAATACACAAATATAAACACAAACAAAAGTGTGCCTGCCCCTGGCCACGCCCATACACACGCACACACACACACGCGCCCATACATAGAGTGCACTTGCCATTCAGTGCAGTTGAAATGCAGCTGAAATTGCAATGCGCGCTGCTAACAGGCAACTTCCTGTCATAAACATGCAAAGCTGTCAGGCACAGGCGCAATACACACACACCAATACACATTTATACACACACACACGCGCACACATACTCACCAATAATTACGTGCACATAGACGCTGGAGGTTTTTGCCACGGTGGGCACACAGGTGTAGTTGCCGGTGTCGCCGGGCATCGCGCGCTTGATTTTTAGTCTGTGGAGACAGAAAGAGAAAGAGCAAAGCGGGTTAGTAGAAAGTGAATGGCAATTCCAGCAAATGAATAACACGCGCAACACTGGTTGGTTTGGTGGGTGGTAAGGTGGGGCAGTTAAAAGGGGGGCGCATTCTAACATCAAATGAAAGCCGAGCTACATTAAAAACTTTGCTACTTTATGTTAAAAGTCACAGTTGTGCTCAAGGGTGTGGGCTTGGGCTTGGGCTTGGGCCTTAGCTATCCACTCAGATAGCGGCAACTGCATTTTATGGTTGCCCGTGTCGTTAGTTAACAGGCATAAATGCACAATGAGCACATGCAGCAGCCGGCGGCTAAACCAACTACTGTAACTCTGACTGCGACTGCAACTGCAAGTGGAACTTTGCTGGCAAAAAGCGAAGCGAATTAAAAGTCACACACGGCTAACTGCGAACAATTGTAAATTGTGCCCTTTACGGACTATCAAATACCCTGTTTGACTCGACTCAGGCCAGCCATTAACTAATTGCTTTTCTCAAGAGCTTCTTTTAAACTTCGCCGCTTTCTCTGTATTTTTTTTTGAAATTTCGGTTCGTTGACTTGCAACTAAAGAAAATGTTGACAACAAATACAAATCAAAGCTGCAGCTCGTGAAAACGACTTAAAGCAAAAAAGCCAGCGCTCCAAAATGCTTTAATTCAGTCAATCAATCAACAACGGACTGAAAAGTCTGCCATTTATAACTATGAAATCGTTTTCACAAAGTCAAGGGTTTGGAAATTATTTGCAAATAGCCCAAACGGCAAATAAGGCATTTGCAATAAACTAAACGCAAAATAAATATAGATTTTTTAAATTTATGTAATTATCCGATATTTGTCCCCTTTAATGAATTTCTGTTTTGTGTTGCTATAAGAACCCGAGTCTCAAAGTATCTCCCATTCCCGCCCCGTTGCACACCTGCTCTACTGCCAGCTGTACTTTACATTCGCAGCCCTTCTTCAACTTAATTAAGTGTGAGGCATTTGAATGCGAATAACTGAAATAGATGTTTGCTTGGGTATTATGAGAAAGAGGCAGAAAGACAGAGAGAGAGAGAGAGAGAGAGAGAGGGTGAGTGGGAGAGAGACTCGAATCGCACATACCTGGAAGTCAGGCCATCCGACCAATCATCCTCGACGAGTATGCGTGCCATGGAGCTGTCGATTTCGTTCTCGTTCTTGCCATCGAGCATTTCGCTGCCTGCAAATGGAGAAGTGGAGAATGAGGCTGTACTATGTATAAATAAAGTACATGGAATGTGTGAATGTCAGTTGCAAATTGAATTGTTTAAATTGCGAAGATGCCTGACAAACGGCATACACACAGACATATAGGCAAAATAATATGACGCATACGCACCTTTGTACCAGAATATGTTGCCCAACTCGTGCGGTCCCTGCATTATTTTACAGGTTAAATTAATGTCGCTGCCCGTTTTCACCATCAGATCGCTGGGTCCGTAGATTTCCGCTTTGAGCTCTGCTTTAACAATGCCAAAGAGCGTAAAGTGTGTGGCAGGGAAAGAGAAGGAATAAAGCGAGAGGGAAAACAGAACAAAAAGTCACTTAAGTTGCCAGCAGAGAGATACACACAAACGCACAGACAAAGCGCTGTTTTTGCAATGATAATAATAATAATAATAATAATGTTAATGATAATGCCCCAACTGACTGACTGCCTGCCCGCCCGCCCAAACGCCCCCTCGGCCGCCTGCTACTTTATTACACAGACGCGTGTCTCTATTATGCTGGCGATAAGCTTTTGTTATGCCTTATAAAAGCCAGCAGAACCCACACACAGTCCCAACTCATAGATACACACAATGCGCACTCATACGCCCCGTTGTACCTGCAGTTTGTGGCAAGCGCGTGAGTTTTTTCTATTTGAGCCTTGTCTCTTTGGAATTGTCTCTAGCAAAAAAAAAAAAAAAAAAAAAAAACAAAGATTTTCGAAATCAAAGTGTCAACTCTGAAGTGCCTTTTGTTGTTACAGCACAACTGTCGAAGATTTCAATTGAGTACGCTGGAAAATGGTAAAATTGAAAATGAAAAATGCGAAATGAATAATGGAAAAATTGCTGCGGACAGCGAGCCAAATGCGATTTTGGGCTTATGACTGGCGTCTTGTTTGTGACTGCTGACAGCTGATGTAATGGAATATGTTTCGACATGAAGGCGGCAACTGGTTTTTTTTCTATTTTCTTACTCAGTTTATATTTTTGCTGCCTCATTGCCACTAATGCAAACGCTTAACGTTGCATGCTGCAGAAGTGGCACACATGCCCCGTCTGGCCCGCGTCACGGGAACAACAGCAGCAACTACACGTGTTTGTATGCTCCACTTTTCACAGCTGCAGCCACACGCTATACACAACCAACACACACACACACTCACACGCACACGCACACATGCGCCATTTTACAAGTTGGTTTTTGCGCCTTGCAACTGCGGCCCTAAAGAACCGCAAAGCCCGGCGTAAATAAATTGCTGCCAACGACTGAAACTGCAACTGTAACGGAGCGCTGCTACGTACATCTGATACTTTTCACTCCGCTTTTCAGCCTTCCTTTTTTTCCACATGCTTGCCCCATTGATGTGGCGCCTCTGCCCACCCGTTCTCGGTGCGCTTTGCTGTTATTCAATCGTGCGGCAACGAAAAACCATTTGGCAAAAGTGTAACGCAAAAAGTGTTGCATACTTTTGGGCCGTTGATTTGCATGGGCTTAATATGCACTATGTGCGTGTGTGTGTGTTTCTGTGTGTATTCATAAATTGCCCAGCGAGGGCTGCCATAAACCTTATGCTTGTTCTTTTTTTATCCTGAATGGTGATCAACACACAACACAAGGCGCAAGAGCTGAAAAGCCGAAATTCTTACAGAAGTTGCCTTTTGGATTGGAAAAGGAGGGCTAGGGGAATACGTTGTGGGAAAGTCTTGGTGAAAGTTTTTACGATTGTGATGTGCAAACGTGACGTTTTCAGCCTGTGTAGCTTAGGTATTTGGGTGTCGGTCGGACAAGCGAGATGTCGCTGGTTCAAATCAGCAGAAATTTTGAAATTTTATATATTGGACAAGCAAGCGAGATGTCGCTGGTTGAAATATGCAGCTGAAATTGTCAACTGTTAACTCAAAGTCGCCGGTTCAAATGCTGCAGAAATTGGCAATTTGTACATTCGTCAGAGCGTCGGACAAGCAAGCAGAGAAGGCGCTGGTTCAAATATAGCAAGAATTGTTAATTTAAAAAATATGTCTGAGCTTCTGAAAAAGAAGCGCGAAGTCGCTGGTTCAAATGCAGTAGGAAAATGTCCCATTTTCATATCGTTGCCATTTTTTTATTTCTCACAAAGAAAAATGTTATATGTTGGCAATTTGTGCAGCTTTGTATGTGCCTGCAGCTCGCGCTAATTACACAAATAATTTCGGTCGGGAAATTTCCTCTTCTAACAGATATTTGATAGCAAACTTTTTAACGTGCTTTGCCGAACAAACTCATTTACAAAACTTGGAGCTGATTTTATGACTCCTTATATGTGCTTATATCTGCTTGTACCTGATAAAACCATAAAAACTGAAGCTAAACAATTGGCTTAAGCAAAGTAAAAGCACACATTCTGTCGATTTTTCTCATTTCTTTTCTTCCTTTGCTTTTGCCCGGCTCGTAATGCGCTTTCATGTGGGACACACACCAAAATTTAAAAAAAAAGGAAGGAAAAACGCGTTCAGGCTTAAAGCTGTAATAAGGAAAGCGGAAGCATAGGTTGAGCTGGGTGTGTGATTGTGTGTGTGAGTGTGAGAGAGAGCTGTGCGAAATGTTAATCTAAATTAAATGCCAAGCTCCATAATAATAGAGTGGCGCTTGGCTGAAAGTGGGAAAACGAACCCCAAATGGAATTCGAACATGCCAGGCGATTATCTGGCTGCTTTATGGACCCGCACAGGTTGCGACGAGTTCTTGTTTGTTGTTCTTGGTTGTTCTTGTTGTTGTTGTTGTTTTACCTGGCAAAACAATTGTGGCAGGCAAAGCCAAGTGTCTATGACTTTTGGCGCTGACTTGGCTACAACTGTGCGCCCAAAGCGCGCAAACAAAGCAGCTAGCCAAAAATTATTGCCACACATGCAGCTGACAACGTGGCCCAGAAACCACGACAACCACCCAACACCTCCAGGTGTTAGGTGTGTGTGTGTGTGCCCGCATGCGGCTGTGCCACGTTTTGCTGCCATTTCAGCCGAGCTTGCTTTTCTTTTCGCCAACGAAAACTTGCATTGCTCGCTGTCAGCGAGCTGCTGGCTTGGATATATGTATTTATTATACCAACCCAGTAAGGGTACTTTACTTTTGTCATGAAATGTGTAGGAGACATCGCTGAACATTCAAATATATAAAGTAGATATATACATAGCGTTAAAGGGTCCCACATTTCGTGGTTCTATGCACTTTTCTGTCTAGCGAAATGTAGCACTTGCGAGCTTCACAATTACTTTTATATATAACTGTCCATTAGGGTATTTAACTTGGAGCGTTTCGAAGAAAGCCTTTTTTAGCTGTGGTATATATCTGGAGAATGGAAATAAATACCCGAGAGGCGTGTGCCACAGCCGTGTGGCAAATTGGCTACTTAGCAATAATTAGATTAAATGTTTTTCTGGTGCAATTCACCTGCATTATGAATGGCCAGCGTTTAGGCCAGAAACTTTGCCGCCTAAGCGCAATTGCTGGCTATTGGCCCCAGCTGTTTGAAGTTTTCATTAGTGTTGACCCAGGCCGAAAAGCTGCAAAGTCTGCTGCTGGCCAAATGCCAAGGCGCAGCAGGCAAAAAGAAAAGAAAAAAAACAGAGAAGCGATAAAGACAGCTGGCAACAACGGCTGTGAACCAGGCAAAAAGCACACACACACACACACACACACATAGAGAGAGAAAGAGGCATTCAAAGGCTCAGGCCTTGTTTACACACACAGTCGACGGAACCGCCGAATGGCTTGAAATTTGTGCAGCCACAGGCAAACAGACGGACAGGCAGACAGACAGGGGGATTCGGGTGTGGGTAGCCACAGCAAGCAGAGTGTAAGAAATGGTCGGAGAGAGTGGGGCGAAGACTGGCATGAAAATGCATTTTCATTTTTCTTGATTTCGCGCATAAAATGCGCATAAGCCTATGCCCATAAACATAAACATTTGGAGCAATGAACTTTGCGCATGGCATACTTTCGGGCGCGCCACAATGCAGCTTGTTATGCCCTGTGCAATGCATGTTAACCGGGTATATAATACTTATACCTAATATAGGTCAACGGGATCAACTGCAGCAGCGACCCAAGTTGCCGCCCAAGCTGGGCAAATGAATGCCTAAGGCTGTAGAAATGTATATGTTAAATAGAGCTGAGTATGAGACTGGAGACTGCTTAGCTTAGTTGTCGCAGCGTCGAACTAGCGAACAGCTAGGCGCCGGCTCAAATAAAGGGTATCTGTTAGTCGAGCTAGCAATTTTAGCAGCGCTGCGTCTGCTGCTGCTGCTATTGTAAAAATTTATTGCGCCGCATATGTTGATGTATGTTTGCACACATGTACAACATATACGAGTATTTATTGCCTCGTTCTCGTTTTCGTTTCGCTCGTTTCGCAGCGCTAAGTGACATACAATTTAACAGTTTTTTATATGTTTTTATTTAGCCGTTTTTCCGCCGCTTTTAGCCGCGCGCAGATTTAAAGTAAACCGAGCCGCGCCCTGGCTATTAATCTTGCCAGACGAGCCAAAGAAACTTGAAACGCAAATTGCTTGGAATTAATTGTCAAATCAAATAAATAAATTCAATTTGTAAAAGTCAGCGGCATAAGCAGCCTCGCAGCCGTCTCATGCACACACAATTGATTGAAATATTCTCAAGCATTTTTGGCTGGGCTTGTCAAAACGCGGCCCAAACAATGCCCCAAATGAAATGCCAAAACATCATTATCATTGCCTCAGACACAGGCTATAGTTATATGTTCGCCGTGTTCTCTGCCATTTTCATTTGCCAATTTCATTCCTGTGCTTATTATTATTATTATTATTATTGTTATTAATAATTCGTGGGACATTAATCATGAGCTCCGAACCACGCGCTGATAATATTCTTGGCAATTTATCATCAATTCGCACGAAAATGTAATTCTAGTATATTATTTTGCTTCTTCCATCCAGCTTTTTCGTGCCATCTCACAATGAAATAGTAAAACATTTGCTTATTACGAATTATGTTTTGCAATTTCATTTGCGCCTATATTTTGTGTCCGGCTGTGGGCAGAGTTCCGCCCAAGTTTACATAAATAAAGCATAATGCACTTTGTAATACGGTTTCTTTTCTTTTTGTACCCTAAATTCAGCAGAAGGGGTATAATGGTTAAAGAATATTTATGTCTGGTTTGTTCGAAGCAGCTTTGAGCACATATATTCCAGATTAGGACGAGAAGTTAAGTCGATTTGTCTGCTAGGGGCCTGATAT